TGGAGCTTCCAGCAGATCGGCGGCTGTGCCGGCGCGACAGACAGTTTTGAGCGACAGAGCCGCAGCAGAGGGGTTCAAGAGCCACGTGCAGCTCCGGACCCGCGGGTTGCTGACCCCTGGTCTAGGGGCATCAGACCGGCTGGTGTGTCACTGCTGCCTTTGTGAAAACAGTATGAAAACCCAAGGCTTCAAGCTCTCAGTGTACCTTGCCTCCCAGAAGACAACACAACATAATAACAAGCCATGGGCTGTTCACAAACCATAGTGCAGGGTTTGTATATAATAATAACCCATGATTCAATGATAACCCATTATTCAATTACTGCCCATCTTCAACTCTAGGTTGTCATTATGTCCAAACTATGCCAGCGGCATGATCTGAGCTGGTTTGACTCTGAAGAAACAGGAGGCAAGCACACAAATACTGGAAAAGTGAATTAATGTGTGTTTACAACTTTGGGCAGAGCATTTCCTGATCTCTTTTTACTATGGTAATTGTGCATCAGGAACTGGCCTGACCATGGGACCTTAGGACCTTTGCCCTTAGGAAAAAATCTTTCAGCCTCTCTTTTCTCCCCGCTGCTCCGAATGGCAGCAAAACCATTAGAGCAGCAGAAGAGAGGACTGAGAGGGAGTGGAATCGGCAGGAATTGCCTTCCAGCATTAAGCCTCTGCTCGGTCATGGTGCCTTCCATGAGAAGAAGAAGCCCTTCTGGGCCAGAAGGGCCAATATGGGTCCAACCTTTTATTCTTGTACTTTGTTCCACGCATCTAAAGATCATATATTGAACTTATATAGACGGAGGTCCTGTTGGTAGGTGGATCGGGCTTTGGGGAAGGGGAATTGAACTTAGTCCTGAATGGGGTTGCACTCCCTCTTAGGGACAAGGTCCGCAGCTTGGGAGTGCTCCTCGAGCCAGAGCTTTCACTGGAAGCTCAGGTGACGGCGGTGGCGAGCAGCGCTTTCTTTCAGTTTCGGCTGATCCATCAGCTGTGTCCCTACCTGGAGAACGACTGCCTGGTGACAGTAACACACGCGCTGGTGACTTCCTGCCTTGACTTCTGTAACGCGCTCTACGTGGGGCTGCCCTTGAAGACGGTCCGGATACTTCAATTGGTTCAAAATAGAGCTGCCAGGTTACTGACAGGGACTGGGCGTTGTTCTCATATAACCCCAGTTCTCCATCAGCTCCACTGGCTCCCCATTGAAGTCCAGGCCCAATTCAAGGTGTTGGTTATGACCTATAAAGCCCTTAACGGCTTGGGTCCTGGTTACCTGAAGGAGTGCTTACATCCATATATGCCCGCCCGCCCCTTGAGATCAGCGGGAGAGGCCCTTCTCCGGGAAAACTCCGTGAAGGATATTAGGAGGGTAAGTACCCGGAGGAGGGCTTTCTCTGTGGTGGCGCCCCACCTATGGAATGTGCTCCCCAGAGAGGTCTGCCTGGCACCGTTGTTATTTGTTTTTCGGTACCAGGCAAAGACCTTTTTATTCAAACATTATTTTAATTGTTAATACTATTTATTTATTTTACTCTTTGGCCAGGGCAACTTAAATTATACTGTTTTATATTGTGTTTATTTATTTATGATTGTGAGCCGCCCCGAGGCTTCGGCGAATGGGGTGGCATAGAAGTTCTCTAAATAAATAAATAATATTATTAAGTGAGCCATATAAGAGAATAAGCAAAGAGATAGTGAATATAAGAACATCTGGAGAATCATGCTGGGTAAGATCAAGGGTGAATCTAGTCCACATTCATTCATTCAAGACATTTCTAACCCGTCCTTTGCCCAAGCCTCAGGACGGCTTACAAATGAGAGTGCCCAGCATCCTCCTACCCAGGTTCTCCTTCAGTGGGTGCGAGAGGACTTTCCACCCGTGATTCTGGAGGCAGCACATGATCATCATGACTAGTAGCCATTGGTAGCCTCTTCCTCCATGAGCTTGTCCAATCCCATTTGAAAGCCCTCCAAATTTGTGGCTGCCACATCTTTCATTTGTCTTTTGGCCAGGCTTTCCCACCAATCAGCTTCAAGGAATGACCCCCGTGTTTGTAATATTATGAAAGAGTGAAGAAAAGGTCTCCCTGGAGATGCTCCATTAGTCGTGAATGCCCCTCCCAACTGAGGATCTCCGTAGCATACGTGGCACTGAAAATATTAATACCACACCCAACTGGGAGACCGTTCTGAACAAGAGCTGTAGCTCAATCATAATGAAGATAGACATAACAGTAAAATAAAAAACAGCAGCTCCCGGTGTTTTCTTTTGTGTGGGAAATGGGTCCAAATGGCTCTTTGAGTGTTAAAGGTTGCCGACCCCTGCTCTGGACAGTGTCTGAGAGGCCATAAGATGCTTCGGATTCCCAGATCGGAGGCAGCACTTTGCACCTGGAGGGGAGAATCTACAATCAGTTCCCCTCCTCCTTTCAGACTGCATGGAAAGAGCCACACTTAACTGCTTCTCCAAGGTCAGAAATGCATCATTGGAGAGGGAGAAAAGGGGCTGCTGCAGCAGGGCAGGGTGCCAGTTTGAGAGGCCGAATGAAGAACATCCCTGATCCTTCTCCAGTCCCCTTCCATTCCCTCCAAAATTCATTCACTGGATGGGCCAAAAAGCCCAGCAAGTGAAAATGCAGGATGCAAGGACAAGGAGTCCAAAATTGTCCCTGCCACTCTTCCCACCCTTCATGGGAAGCCGGTGTGTATGTGTGCACATGCGTGCAAGAGAGTGCTTACAGTAACTGGAATAGCACTGCTCCTGAAGCACCACCTGACCTAACCAGGCTGCTTTCTTTTGGAGTAGGCCACCATGCACCACCCCCCTTCATGGATCACGGCCTCGCTGTGGTGAAGGGGCTTGCATAGCGCGATGAAGCTGTGAGCTATGGCGTGCAGGGGCACCCAAATGGACAGGTCATAGCAGAGAGCTCTGACAGACGGTGATCCACAGGAGAAGGAAACAGCAACCCACTCCAGTACCCTTGCCATGAAAACCCCATGGACAGTACCACAAGGCAAATCCCAGTTGCAATGTCTGGCTGTGAAAGTTGGACCATAAGGAAGGCTTAGCACCAGAGAATCGAGGCCTTTGAATTGCGGTGCTGGAAAAGACGCTTGAGGGTCCCCTGGACCACAAGGTGATCAAACCGGTCAGTCCTAGAGGAGATCAACCCTGACTGCTCTTTAGAAGGCCAGATTCTGAAGATGAAACTCAAATACTTTGGCCACCTAATGACAAGGAAGGACTCCCTGGAGAAGACCCTGATGCTGGGAATGACTGACAGCAGAAGGAGAAGGGGATGGCAGAGGATGAGGTGGCTGGATGGAGGCACTGGGGCAGTGGGTGTGGGCTTGGGTGGACTCCAGGGGATGGTGGAGGACAGGAAGGCCTGGAGGAAGGTTGTCCATGGGGTAGCGATAGTTCAGACACGACTTCCAGACTAACAACAACAACATGCATCCATCTTGAAATTGGCAGCCATGGAACTGTTGCTTTCAGGGAGGTTTGGCTGAAAACATGAGCATCAACAAATGAGAACGCTTACAGCCTCAGATCAGCGTAAGGCTAGGCAATGCGAAGGCATCGCCACAGCAATCAACACTACATGGATGCAGAAGGCCCAAGGCAGGTGAAAGGAACCACATTCCGAAATGATTCCTTTTACTGATCGGCACCTTTCCAGACATCAAAACAGGTGGCCAAATGGTTATACACTGCAGCATAGGCTTGGCACAGCTCCTGTGTCAGGGAGCCTCTGTCGACGGAGGCATTTTCTTTTGTGCCAGGTAAGGACTCTGGCACTGGAGAGATCAGCTCCATTTGGTTTGGGCAGGAACAGCCTGTCTTGGTGCTTAGCGATCCTGCACCTGTTCTGTTAAAATTTGGACATCCACCCACCCCCAGCCACTTTAAAATAAAAATAATTAATGTGGCAGGATCTTCAGGTTTTAGAAGCAGTCCTACCACGGTTTTTTTCAGGAAAGACCGATACTTGTTCCAGATCATTTGCAAATTTAGCAACCCTTTTTCCCACTCAAGCACAACATAAAATGAAGGCATCTGTTTCGTTCCATCAAAAAGAAAAGAAAAAAAAGTAAAGCAACACAAATGCAATGCAGGCAGTGCCCAAGTTACAATTATCCGAATTAAGAGCAACCCGTGCTTACGAATGAATGGGCATAAAGCCTATTCATTTTTTAAAAATTACTGTAGAAAAATCATCATCACCATAGGAAGAGAGGAGGGACTCGTCTGAGGAAGCACTCAAGAGGGAGGTACATCAGTCCGCATGGCAACAACCGCAGCACTCAACTAAAATGGTGCCAACAGATGAAACGAAACTGGGAGAGCTCTTCCATGATGCATCAAGTTTGTCTGGGGATGTACAATGCTGCTCCCTTGTTCCAGAAAGGCCCGGCCACCATACGGGGGCAGCTCTGTGGTGGGGAGCGTTTCTGGGCTCAGCCATTCAGTGCCTCTGCTTAACGTGCGCAGCATCTTTGTCCTCCAGCTGCGCCACCGTCCTCTGGAGACTCGGCTGGAGTCAGAGACCATCCGCGGTCCACCACACATGCCCTCCAGAAGTCGTGGACCACAGGACCATTGGTCATGCTGGCTGGGGCTGATGGGAGCCGGCATCCAAAGCATCTTGGGACCAGGCTGGGGAAGGCTGGAATAGCCGGTCCTGGGGGAGACACAACTATGCTGAAGCCATCCAACTGGGCGCTTGCTCCAGGGGCGATTTCTGCCGCTCGGGACCGCGGCAGGCCGGGCAGGGGGTTCGCCGGCCTCCTCGTGGCCCAGGCCAGCCCATCGGCGCGGCGGGGGAGCGGCTTCGTCGCACGGGCTCCGCGCCACGAGCGCGGCGCCATGTGACTGCCGGCCCGGGCGCGCGGGGAGGGGAGGGCGGGGAGGGGAGGGGAGGAGCGGCCCGGCAAGCCCTCGCTCCCTCCCTCTCTCGCTCGCTCGCTGGCCGCGCCGGGCGGGGAGGCGCCCTGAATCACCGGCGTGTGCCCGCCGGCCGGGCTCCGCCGAGCCTTTAAATGCCAGTGGGCACGTACCCGGGGCCCCGCCAGCTCACCAAGCCGAGCCCGGCGCGATCGCCCGCGGCCGGGGGCCAGGAGCCGTCAAGTCCGCTCGCCCCGCGCCCGCCGCCCCCGCGCCGGCCGAGCGCCCGCCATGAGAGCCATTCCCGCGCCCGGGATCCGCTTCCTGCGCTCCTTCTCCAGGGACAGCTGGTAAGGGCGAGCGGGGCGCGCCGGCGGGGGCGGCGCGGCGGCTGGGGGCGCGCCGGGCTCTGTCCCGCCGCCCCTCTCCGTCTTCCTCTCCGTCTGTCTGTCCGTCCGTCCGTCCGTCCGCCGGAGACAAAGGCGTCGCTGGCTCGGAGCCGCCGGGCGCCCCCGCGCGCGAGGATGCCCCACGGCTTCCGCGGGCTTGGCCGAGAAGGACCCGGCGCCGTCCCGCCGCAGGGCCGGGCGAGCGCACCGCCCGAGGGAGCCCGCTGGGGAGGAGGGACAAGACGCAGCAGCAGAGAGGAAGCCCCTTGCTGAGCCGCAGCCGATCGGGGAAGGGTCCGCGGGCTCGAGCCTGGGGAAAGCGCATGGCCGGCAGGGGCCAGCCCGAAGCACCTGGGGTCCGCCGGGGCTGCCGCGCAGGTGCGTCGGTCTCGCCCTCCCGAAATTCCGTGGCGCGGGCGCGGCTGTGCGGAACATCTCGCGGAAAATGCATCTCTTCTGGTTCCATAGCACAGCATTCATATCCCAGAGGAGAGCGGCAAGGCTAGGCATACTGTGTCCCACTGACCTCAGGCTTACTTCCGAGTAGACACATATAGGACGGCATTACAAAAGTGCTACACTGGTGAAAACATCCCTTCTTCTCAGCCTTTTCCCTGAAAAAATCTTTCTAGGTTTTGCCTTCCAACCTAACCTTTTATCACTGGTGCAATTAGTCTTTGAAGAGGGGGTGGACAAACCAGCACATCTCAGTCTTGTTCTTGCTGGACATCCTCATTAAGACCTAAATTGCAGAGTGCACAGAGTAGGCTTGGGAAGGGGGACTGGCCTGGGAGGAGTTGCTTCCTCGGAGTTCCAGTTTCTTCGTCTTCTACCCAGATCTCTAGTTGTGCCGTGGCAAGGGCTTCATCAATTTTATTCGCTGGAGCAATCCATATGATTCCTACTGGGGGAAAGAGCATATGTTATGCCAGGTTTTGTGGAAAAGATCTACAAGATTCTTGCAGGCTTCAGGCTGTGGGCTTTCTCTGCAAAACCCAAGTGGATTTCCCATTCCAACGTGTTGTTTCCCATCACTATTTCTCCATGGGAATAATTCCAAAGTGCTCCTTCAGATTCCAAACATGACATTAGCACGGGCCCAGTGTTTGCCAGTGACAGTTTTAGATCTTTTCTTACATTTCAGATGATTGTTTTTATTTTGCATCTGTCCACCTTTCGAGTGTTCTAATCTGGCACATCAGTTCCTGCTGTACTGGCTTGTTCCCATTGGCAAGAATACTTTGCCAGTCTCTCCCTGCTCGGCTTTATCGATCGTCCAGGACTTGCATAAATAAACTTTGCCCACTGCACTTGGGTCAGCTAAGTTTTATCTAGCTTATGCAGGTGTTGCAAGGAGACCATGTTCTGGCTAGCGTATCATGGACTGGAGGAGGATTTTCTGTTTATCGGGTTTAACTTAATCTAAAATAGATAGCACATCATGTAGGAAGGTATCTAATCTGTTTCATTTCTCCAACCCACAACAATGATACTGGCTGCTTTGGTAAGCAAATGTAGCACCTCCTCGTAGAAATTTCTCGTCTGTCTGAATTGTTCTGCTGGTGTGCCCACATGGATAAGTTTTCAAGTCGTGTGTTTGCAAGGCTAGACAGACACCCCTCTGAAAGTTTTCTCTATGTCCCTCATAAGGTAACCGGGTCACCTCTTTGCAGCAGGAAGAACAGATTAAATTTCCAATAAATAGTCAAAGGCAAAGCACTTTACAAACACTTCCTGTCAGATTCTTATCTGGGAGCAATCAACTGCAATGCTACATCTTCATCTGTGCTTGTTGGCATATTCATCTCTTGGTGAGAGCAAGCTCAAAACTTGCTTTAGTGGATGTGCCATCACAAGTGAATGCTCTAGAAGAGGCATCTAAGCATTGTTTTCCAGTGGATTTAGTGCTTGCACTCATCTGTCAGGGAGCAAGTTGTGCTTGCAGTTCTCTGAGCCTGTTCCTTTGCAAAGACTGATTCTGGTGCTCTCTGTGGTCTGCTCTGTATAGGCTTGACCTGAATATGGAAGTTAGCAGTATCCTGTAGTTCCACTAAAGGAAAAGAAATGTGGCTGAAAATAAGAGAATGCACAGGCAGAATCATGAGCGAAGGTGAATAGTTTTAGTTACCTGTTCAAGCATGTGAAAGCCCTGCTGGATCAGATTAAACGTCCACCTAGCACCTGTTCCCAGGGTGGCCCACCTCTGAGAAGCCCACAGGCATGGCAAAGCCTTCTCCTACTGTTGCTTCCCAGCACCTGTATTGAGGGCCTGGCTGTCTCTAAGTCTGGAAATTTAGACTTATAGCTGCTTGTCAAGCCTCTTTCCCATGATTTTGCAGTAAATTGCAAATGTGTACAAGCTTGTGGCCATTGTTGTCTTTTTTCCAGTTTTCCTTTGCAATGTGTAAGCGCCACCCCTGTCTAAAGGCAAGAAGGGGGACTGGCCAGATATTCTTGGGCAAAGAATTCCACAAAGTCAAGTAATAGCTGTCCAAATGGAGACAATGTGGCATAATTTATTTGCCAAGACCTGCCCTTTCATTCCTAAGAAGGGCTTTCCAAAAAGCCTTGATTTCCTTCCTGAAATCCATGTTCTGTTTCCAGGCCTCTACAGCTGTCTCTGTTTACATGACAGGGCAGCCCGGATTCCTTCATAATTGCTGACCTCTCTCTGCCTTATAATTTGCCAATCATTCCACTTTGGAACCTTCAGAAGGCTTCATAAGGAAGTACTCTAGAGACGATCACTCGGTTCGTTAAGGTTTAAAGCAGAATAGCCACCAGAATAACCACTGGGAACAGCTGCTTAGAGTTTGATTCTGCGTAGTTTATGAGAGGCCTCTTCAACTGGGCTTCCTCTGGCATGCATGAGAATGACGGGAGCTGTAGTCCACCGTACTCCGGAGGGTGTCTCAGTGCAAAGGGCTAGCTTGTGATAAACAAAGAACTCACTGTGATGTTGAAAATAGCAAGTGCCAGTAGCTTAGCTGGCTTTCAGAGAGGTTGGCCCAGTTCGTGGAAGATAAGGCAATTGGTAGTCACTAGCTGTGCATCCAGTAGGTGCCGGGACAGTGGCTTAGACACCAGCAACCACAGAGGGCTATGACTCCCTTACCCTTCCTGGAGGCATCCAATTGGCCTTGCGCTCTGATTCAGTCGCGCTCTTCTTACACAGGGACCAGGCTGAAACACGAGCGTGCATGCACGTGCACACACACGCACACACGCTCCTAGAAAGAGGTGAAATTCTGAACATCCCCATGGAAACCTCACATGAGAGTCCTCTGGTGTCGTGGTTCAAGAGTTGCACTGGGACTCTGGAGATCACAGTTCTAGTCCCTACTCAGTCGTCAAACTCATTAGGTGACTTTGGCTAATCACCGACTCCCAGCCTAATCGACTTCACAGGGCTGTTGTTTTGAGGATAAAATAGAGAGGAGGAGGAGGAGGAGAACTATTCAAGTTACTTTGGGTTCCTGGCAAAAAAAAGGCAGAAGGGTAATTAAGTGAAATGTAATCAATAAATAAGAGCATTTAGAGGATGTCCAAGAGGCTACCACAGCTGAGGGGAGGCTACCCCACCTAAGGAATAGTTTAGATTTTTATTCTTATTTTAAAGAATTGGCTGGGGCTGGTATTTTTGTTTCTCCCAGCCCAGCATACCAGGCTCATCATCTAGGTCGCTCTTCCAGATGCCCCCAACAGGGGAGGGTGAGGAGGAGGCAGCAAGGAAAAGGGACTTCTCAGTGGTGGCCCCTCATTTGTGGAATGCTCTCCCTGACAAGGCCCACCTGGCACCAACATTGCTATCTTTTCAGTGCCAGGATAAGATCTTCTCTGAGACACTTGGCAGCATATGGTGTTTTAAGCAGCTCTTGAATTTTTCCTTGGAGATTAAAAAATGGTTTTTAGATGAAGGTGTGTTTTGTGTTTATGTGTTTGTATATCTATATTGTATACATATACAATGTGTCTAATGTATATTTTATAAATGTATATTTATTCCTACTAATATGTCAAAACATTTTTGACATTATGCATTTGTACACCCCCCAGAGAGCTTCTGCTCTTCAGTACTGCAGAAATGTCAAGAAGGAATTGCAGTGCTGGATTTTCTGGCTGGAGTCTTTTCTCGTCCTATTTGGAGATGCCAGGAATCCAACCTGAGGCCTTCCTTCTGCATGCAGAGCAGGTGTTTTCTGCAGCACTCTCTCCCTCTCCTTCCGTCCTGCTGCTCTAGAAGAGAAGTGCTGCTCAGCCTTTCTGCCTTGAGTCCCTTCAGTTACTTCTCCTGCCAACCAGTTTAACGATCAGCCGCAGCTCTCGGTTCCATGGCAGACCTTTTCGAATGGTACAGGAGCACCTACAAACTTTGAGCTGAACTAGACATCACATGGCTGATCCAGCCTATATCTCCAAACTCTTTTCCTGTCCCTAAAAAGAGCCTTCTTGGGCTGTGGATTGGATTGGGGATGTGTTGCTAGAGGAGGGGAGCTCCTTCATGCCCCCTTCACCTCCTTTCCTTTCTGGGAATCTCTTGCTCATTCTGGAGGAAAAGGTAGGCAGGCTGCAGGACTGGTATCTGGAGTCTTCCTTCCCCTCCCTGGGACAGATGATTTATGACCGGGCAATTGATTCACTTATTTTGCTTATTTAAAGAGTATTTATAGCATCCTTCAGCTCAAATATTTCCAGAGTGGGTTATGATAACTCATGAAGCAGAATAACACTGCACAAATCAATAAGGTAGTTCCAGACCGTAAAAGGCACTGCTCAAAAGAATCGTAACAGAATTTTAAAAACATACATCGTGAATTTTAAAAGACTGGGAATTTCCCTTCCTTGAACATAAAAGTAGATGATGGGAGAAGCTCTCTGGAGATGGAGATCCGTCCGTTGCTACTCAGTGCATTGCTGGTGGTGGACAGCTGGTGAAGGCCTCTCGGGAACATGGCCATTCA